AGGGAAACTTGTGCAGAATTTGAGACAGTGGGGCCAGTTTTAGAACACCTACATATTTTTTCTGTTTTGAGGAAACAACTTCTTTCCTAGGTTCCTTGAGAGTTACACGGACAGCTTACTCACCTGTATGCATACAGTAAAGTGCACACACACACACACACACACACTTCTCCTGCAAGAACTGTACCAGCAGTGGATGGTGCACAAGATTCTGTGGCTATAGAATCAAAAGTAAATGAGGCTTGACTTCCTACAGGGTGTATCTTGTAAAGTGGGAACTCATTTGGGTGCCGTAGTCTCACATCTGAAATATCAACATATTAAATTCCTAACTGAGAAAATTCCTGTCAGGTTTCTCTCTTATTAAACAATATAAAAATAATTTTTCCTCCTTATTTGGAAGAGATTGAGTCATATCTACTTTCTTTTTTCCATACCAGCTTGCCTTTAGCTTGGGGTTGTGGTGTAAGACGCATCTTTACACCATCAAAACCAGATGTAATACTCTGAGAAGGAGAAACAGGAGGTGGAGCCAAGTCTTGAAAGAAAGGATTGGTTGCCTACATGTTCTGCATTCCAGGAAAAATAAATGTATTCACTAATTAATCCCAGAATTTCCTGAAGTTTGTAAGCTACAATGCATTACATCATATCTTGCTTTATTTATCATCTGTGACATCCATGTATGAAGATTCCAGCAAGTTTTTGCTCACATAGCAATTAAGAGATGTGTTAAATCCATTTCACAGCTGCAGGCAAACTACTTCTGGAGAGCTGGCAAAAGGTATTCTGCATCTTCCATTTAGCAATAAAGGAAGAAGGCAGTGGCCCCATAATGCAGTCCTCTGGAGCTGGAAAGAAAACCTCTGCATCAGAGTAATTAGATCCTGTAGTCTGTATTGCCAGGAAGTCAAAATATGGAATATTTTTTGTAATCTCTCTCTGCTGAAAGTGCTTCTTGGGACAGTTGCATGAGCACTGACTTCAGCATTTTGTTCCTGTGCAGTGCTACTTAGTGGACCAATGTGGGAAAGGTTTATCGTCTTCAACACTGCAAATGATTTTTTTACTAAAAATGCATATTCATCTTAGCCCTTTTGAGCTATTGTGTTGCTCTAACTTTCAGCATGAACATCTGTACTTAAATATCAAGAAGATAATAAAACAGGGATCAGGAAATGGGGATGGAGCTTTTCATTCCTATTTCAAATCCAGCCGTCAAGTCAACAGATGCCTCAACAGGGCCTCAGCAGATGGCCCTTTCTCTTCTCATCATATGAAGACCTGTGAAATCAATTGATAGTTTTGATCTAATGTTTAACAGACAGATATCCAGAGCCTCTGAAACTGTCATTCCTCTCAATATGATTCTGGCAGCCTCGTTCAAGATCTCTAAAATAAGATAAACCTTATTGCACTTCTCTTGCCTCTTAATTTGCTCTTATTTTGCTAAATGGAGAAAGCATCACCTTTTGGTACAATGATTTGATCCTTTTGGATCTGTCATAAAGTCAACAATTACATTCACAGAGGTAACTAAGCTTCAGCATAAGGAATAAAAAGAGGAAAAAAAACCCCAAGGATGTTGAGTCACACACCTGGACTGTTTGAATTCATAATACTGCCACCTCATCCTTCCCAAATTGATGGAAAGGGAAACATGAAAGAAAAGGCAAACAACAAACTCTAATGTACATTTTTACTATGCTTTCAGCTGGCTCTTTCCAATGCAATCTGCTTTTGGAGATGCGGGGAACCATAACTTGACTATATACTCTTGACTATGTATATACCCCAAACCTTGTGGTAGTAATGTGTTAATGTCACTGGGTACCAAAAATGTTCAGTGGCTGGTGCTGAGCAAAGGAGGAGGAACAGCCTATACCAAAAGAAACTGAAGTCTACTTTGAAACCAGTACAAAGATGGTAAAAGGCCAAGACTGCACTGTAGTCTACACAGTGATGTAGTTCATGCAGATCATAGAGTCATGGAATGGTTTAGGTTGGAAGGGACCTTAAAGATCACCTAGTTCCAAACCCCCTGCTATGGGCAGGGACACCTTCCACTAGACCAGGTTGCTCAAAGCCTCATCCAGCCTGGCCTTGAACACCTCCAGGGATGGGGCATCCACAGCTTCCCTGGGCAACCTGTTCCAGTGCCTCACCACCCTCACAATAAAAAATTTCTTCCTAATACCTAATCTAAATCTACCCTCCTTCAGTTCAAAACTGTTACCCTTCATCCTATCACTACACTCTCCATCCTTCCTGTAGGCCCTCTTTAAGTAGAAGGCTGCTATAAGGTCTCCCCGAAGCCTTCTCTTCTCCAGGCTGAACAACCCCAACTCTCTCAGCCTGTCCTCATATGGGAGGTTCTCCAGCCCTCTGATCATCTTCATGACCCTCCTCTGGACTCTCTCTAACAGGTCCATGTCTTTTGCTTGCTCCAGCAGGTCCATGTCCAGATAAGGATGTTGACAGTAAATTCCATCTTTACTGCAGCTGTTGCAACAAATTGATTCTTTGAATGCCCCCGACTATCTGCTGGTACCCATCTGTCAGCTATCATTTTAGCTGGATTTATCATCTGTTGCTTCAGTGTAAATCTCACTGCTTCAGCACTGTGTTTTTTCATAGTTTTTCTACTTCTGTTTGGGATGACCAAATGGCCAAGTTTTTTGTCAAGGCTCTGAACTACATTGGCCTTGCTCCGGATGGGGGATAGACCAACCTAAATTATTGTGTGATTCTGGGATCCTATGTCCTGTACCATCCATGCGGTGACATCATCGTGATGATGCTGTGTCTCTAGGTGGTGGCCTGGAAGCTGGTTTAGGACAGAGCAAAGCAACTGTGCTTCTCTGAGAGTGGGAAACAGGTCATCTGAACCAGTGGGTTGGCAGAGGAGAACAGCGTGCAGGGGGAGCTGGGTAAGAAACTGAAGCAAGTAAGGAGGGAGGGTAGAGCTGTGAAGGTCTGTGAGGGTGAGCAACCAGCCACCGCCCTTGTTCTTTTCAGAGACAAAATCCTGGTATTTCCACCCTCTGAAAGGGACTTGTTGCAGTACCTTGTGTCTCCCCTGCCCCCCAAGACTTACCCTGAGACCAGCTGTGTCCCAGTGGTCTTTTGCTAGTCAAGAAAAAGCTTCAGTTTTTTCCCTACAGTAACTTGAAAGTGTCAAGTTATGCTTTCATGTGTGACTGCGTGCAACTTCTTAGTCTCAAAGCTACAAAAAATTACACAAAACTATGTAGCTCTATCTGGTTTTGAGGGATGTCAGATGAGTAAATCATGCAGGCAAAGATTTGGCTCTGGGGCAGCTGAGCCTGTTGGATATACAGGCAACTGACAACATTGTGTTGCAAAACAGGATCATATTTATGAGCACTTCATTTCCAAGACCTGAACGCTTCCTGGGTGTTTGGTTACTTTCCTGTTCCTGGAGTAAGGCTAATATAAATTCAGTAATCCACCAATTAACTAACTAATGTGAAGCGAACACATTCCCTGGGAAATGTCAGTCTAGGGAGTCTCTGAGACTCTGACTTGACTCTTTCCTCACAGTATATATGAGACCCTATAGAGGAGTATATTCAGAAACATTTTGTTTTCCACCAAAGCAGGAAGAAGATAAATCCAGTTTAAGTCCTTGAAAGCATAACTATGAACTGGTTAAATCAAAGCTTGAATATTTGTTTTATTTAGAACAGGAATGGCAACAGAGCTCTTAGAGTCCAAGATATTGTTGAATGGTAGCCAGAAGGCTGTAATGTAATGGGCTTTACTTGTGTGTGTGTAAGACACACTTCCCCTGTGATTTGCATGCTTATTATAGCATCTTATCAGCTGTTGTAAAGATAAGGAATTCTACCACGGCATTTTGCACACTGTAATCATTGTTCATTTGATTCATCATGCATTTCTTTTGGAGGAAATGGCATGAGATGAGTGGGGCTTATCTAAAGGGTAGCTTTTGGAGTGTGCTGAGCAGGCAGCACTGAGGGTACTGTGTTTTGGACAGAAGCTGTACCATGCAGGAAGGTGCCAGGCAGCCACACTTCCCCCCCAGCCTCTGGCAGCCACCCATGCTGGCTTTGGCCGTAGCAAGGAGAGGGCTGGCCAACACACAAGTCGTTTTCTCGAGTAAAGGCGAAGAAAGAGATGAAGGAAACATAGTGAGACTGGGTGCACAGTGAGAGGTGATGGACTGCAAGGTACATAGTCGACCCAGATGGCTTTGTTTAGGGCACTAATTCACTCAAACTGTGCTCTGTGCTATCTTTAAAAATATGTTATTGTGACCATAAAACCAGGCTTTATAGAAGTAGAGTGACGTCCAGGCTTTTGTACTCGTGGCCAATCTCTGTGTTATCCAAATGGTGGCATTTGTTCCATTGATAAAGAATAACAACAAAAATATGATGTGAAAACAAGAGATCTGGTCTGAGCTTCAAGCCTATGTCATGCTTTGCCTTCTCAGGGTTTTCTTGATACCTTATTAAAATAGGATTTAAAACTCAAAGAATCCTAATGTAAAATATGATTTGTACTGCTGAAAAAGTGAACGCTTGATCCCACATGGCAATATTTTAGTCCATATTAGATTTCAGGTGACAAGTTTAAAAACACCTGATGACTTTACACTAATTACTTGTTGGGTCCTCAGCTTCTGAGGGATTTACAAGTGCCAAAGTTTCAAAATGTGCTGAATACTTTTTCTGTGGAAATGTGATATATTTAGTGTTTCAAGGCATCCTTTCCAAATATCTGGTGAATATGACTGCCCTCATTCAGTATGATCAGTAGTTCTCAATAAAAAGTGCCCAAGGAAGATTTGCAGCTTTAAAATTTGCACTCCATGTTGTAGGTAATGACTTAGAGATGTGTAGTCAGCTTTTGAACAAGCATTCATGTACTTAACTTTTTTTTTTTTTTTTTTTTTAAACATTCCAGTCCTATAGACAACATAAACGTGACCAGCATCAGGTTGAATCCTGGCAGGAATTTGTTAAAGCCCGGAAATGACAGCAAATTAAATCCATTTGTCACCTCCATTGAAAAATGTGTATTTGTGTCTCATTGGTAAAACCAGGATACTTAACTGAAAAGGTTTGCCAAGATGAGCACTTCAGCTGGGAGCCAACAGAATAGCAGCCCAAGCACAGAGGCTAATGATAGTGTCAGTCTATTGTGTGATAAATTACATCCTGTTATAAATAATGAAATATTGGAAACAAATAAAACATTCACATTCTTCACCCAAGTTTTTTCCCCTGTTTTGTGATGAAAATGTTATATGTCAACCTTTCTACTTTGATTGGCATTTTTAGGGTGTTTTTTTTTTCCATTCCTTTGCTGCTTTGATTAGAGTGTGACATGAGGATGTTTTTATGATGTGTGTTTGACACTTCCAGATTCCACGCGAAACCCTAATTCCTGATGGCAAGACAATAATCTGGGACAGCATGAAAGGCTTCAGAATACCTAAGGCAACCTACAAATTCATAGGGCTCCTGAGCTGCGAGACAACTGTCGGTGGACACAAGTATAGCACAAAGTACCTAACGCACCGAGAAAGTAAGTACTGTTCTCCACTCCCTGTCTTTTCATTAAGCACTCTGCCCTGGTGATGTTGCTCACTTTTCTTTCTCTTCATCACATGCAGCCAACACAATTTTTGATGTTCAGTTAAGTACCCCGCGTCTTGTCAAGTTGCTGAAAGGAGACAGCCTGGTGATTAACTGCACTGTCACCGCAGCCTGGAACACCAGGGTGCAGATGACGTGGACTTATCCTGGAGAGGTGAGTGCTGTGGTTGAAATGAAAAAAAAAGATGGTTTCCCATAGCTGCATCTTGCATCCTGGGAGGAATTTTGCCTCTAAATGCTTGCCGTGGTTCACATTCCATTCTTTTGACCTTTACTGACACATCTTTAAAGGTTTTTTTCTTTCTGGTGCTTAATTGAATGAGTAAACATGTTTACACAATGTACTCTGGTTTTATTGCATAATTGTGAGTGAACGCTAGAATTGTTTCATCCCTGGGAGCTTCTTTTCAACCTGGAGAAATGGTAGAAATTTACCTACCCAGGCAGGGGCTCTCTCTTGTGACAGAAAAGTTTTCAGCAAGGCTATCTTTCTCAACACATCCATTTAAAAGACTGGCAGACAGTCAGGCACCCGACTCGAGCATGTTTAGAAAAGATATTTTGATTTAGCTAGCCAAAATCTCATTTGTTAAGTGTCACATGAACAATCCTCTTGTTTTGATAACTACAGGAATCATCTTGAATGTACTTCTCCTCCCCCTGCATTGGGAGCATCCTCAGAAATATTTGTTGCCTACAGAATAACTGACGGAGTCCATGTAAAGCTGATAAGAAATTTGACATTATGTAAAGATTTACAACTCCCATTTCTTTCATGTCAGTTTGATTTATGCTGGTGATTCAAGTCAAGATAATTTATTATGTCACTCATTGTGCCTAATCACAACCTGAAATTATGATTACATTGTATAAGGAAGATTAATGCAATTGTTTCTTGCATACTGTAGACATGTTCCCTGGCATGTTTTCATCCCCAAAATAAACAGTTTAGCAACAAGAAATGCTCCAAATATATTATGGTGCTCATTGTGGCCTTACCAAGCCCTAGTCAAGCACCACACTTGTGAAATTCATCTTTGTTTTTATTTGGATGGTAACTGAAGGGTGCTCAGTGTTTATAAGACACCAACAATGTCCTGAGTTAAACAAACTTGGAGGCCAAGGGCTGAGGGGGTGTTGCAGGAAATAACTCCTCAGACTCACATTATCTTCAGTTCCACCCTGTTATTCCCTTGCCAAATCTCGTCCCATTTCTGTCTACAGCATTTCTAGAATTCTCCCCTTCTTGTGTTAATGCCCTCTTCTTCTATATGTCTGCTGCCTATGGACACCGAATCCAGGCACCAAACTATGTGCCAGTGGCTCCGGGGATTTTTATGAGCAATGCTGGATGAGGAGTAATGGGGAGCTGGGCATCTTGGTATGGCAAGCCGTAAGATGGGATGATCTTTGTCTGGAAAGTGGTAGTTTGGATGCTATTACTACTTTGGTGAAGACAGGAATTAATTGCCTGTAATGTTACTTAAAATTTTTATTGTTGATCCTCTGGAAATGTTAGGCATCTTTTGCATGTCTGTGCTGTACAGAGAATCTGGATTTTTTTATTAAGGTATGGTGGAAGTACAGTAAAATAAAAATCTTAATAATCATTAAAATTTGCCTGATTAATTTATTTCTTGTTCATTTTTGCTTTTATAGACAAAGAAGAGAGGTTCTGTAACACAGCGCATTGACCAGAAGAATACGGAAGCCAATATTTTCTACAGTATCCTCGTTGTTGACAAAGTGCGAGATATTGATAAAGGCCAGTACACCTGCCACGTGAAGAGCGGGCCATCAATCAAAGCTGTTAACACGACAGTCATTGTTTATGGTAAGAAATGTCACAGATCTGTAGAATACTGCATGCTCATGTACCAAGTTTAGTCATACAACAGCTTTATCTCTTGGCACAAAGTGGAAGTGAATTTATAGCATGTTCATCATGGGCAGAAAAAGCAGGGAGACCAGAGAGAATACGTGCCTTTTCTTCCATGACTGTTTTGTGTTGTTGGCAGTAGAGACGTTGATGTTCAGTTTGATCAGTCTTGTCTGCTAAATACTGTGATGACCCTGTCCTTGGTCTGTTCTGGCAGAAGCAATCAGTTAAACTGTAGTTTGAAAAAAAAAAAAAGGTACAAGCTGAATTTAAAGAGTCCCACTTCCTCTTCTGCAGCAGAAACAATTCATTGTTTCCTATGAAAAATGACGAAGAAACAGATACACTAGCTCTATGTGGTGCAGGTAGCTGCTAGACCATTCGAAAAAATGAAAAAAGCACAAGATACTGCAATACATTAACATGGTTTTACAGTGGGAGCCTTAAACAAGTTTCCCTGTGGTCTGCCTGAGCCTTCTGTGAAATCCGGACGTTTCTGGTTTGTTGTGGTTTGACCTGGCTGGCAGATAAACACGACTCAGCTGCTCACTCACCCTCCCCCCCGTCTAGGGATAGGGGAGAGAATTAAAAAGGTAAAGGGAAAAGAGACTGATCGGTTGAGATAAGAATGATTTAATAACTAAACTACAATAATATTGAAAATAATTATAATAATAATGATATAAGCAAATATACAAATGAGTGATACACAGAGAAATTCGCTGATGACCAAGGCTCAGCCCATTCCTGGCTAACAATCCTGGAGCAGAGAGAGTCCTGAAACTCTAGTCCCAGAAAAGTGATAAGAGCCCAAGTGTCTGAGACACTGAGAAATGAGAGAGAGATGACCCTGAGAGAGTGAGTGAACTTTGGGAGAGACCCTCATCTGTATACTGGGCATAACATGCGTGATATGGAATATACTATTTGACAATTTGTGTCTCAGTCCTAAATCTGAGGTCGAATCCTAATCCAGTAACTGGGGCTGTGCTCCCTCCCTGCTTCTCCTGCCCCTGCAGACACTGGCACAGCAGAGAAGCTGAAAAGCCCTTGACTGTCCTGGCAGCAACTATAAACATCAGTATGTTATCAGCCTTCTCAGCACAAATCTAAAACATAGCCTCTTACTAGCTACTGTGAAGAAAGTTAACTCTTAGCTGAAACCAGGACATGGTGTTATTTCAAATTTTTGTGAATTAGGATGTTTGTGCATTGGAACTCTATGAGAAGCTACCTTCTCTGTGGCATCATGTTACGATTAGGACTATCCAGGATCTTTGGAGAATCATTGGTATTAAAGACCAAGTGGTTGGTGGGTGCCCTCTACGACAGATGACTCATGGTCAGAATATTGATTTGTTCCATGTTTTCAGCTGTCTGCCTTTTCTCTCTCATCTGGAAGTGTGGACTAAGCAACCCACATGGTATTCTTGGAGAGTATTTCAGTCAATTTTCTCTATATAAGCCCTGGACTAAGTCACTGGGAGCATAGGATGAATCATGATATCCACTATGATATTCTTAAACAGATAAATTGAAACTGTCAGAAACTGAGTTTTAGATTAAAATTGAAGTCAGAGAAGCTGAAACTGTTGAAGGTAGGCTGTAAACTCTTATTCACATAAGCAGCCCCATCTATGGGATACCCTTCTTAGAAAGAGCCTGTGTGAATAAGGGTTTGCAGAATGAGGGTTGTATCTTTATACCTTGACTTGGGTAATTAAACTACTGATTTGGCTTGTACGTGTTAGTTTCAATGTATGTGGCGAGTGTGATTAAATATTGCACTCGTTTAATAGATATCTAGTGTCCTTATGCAGTCCATCATGTGAGTAAATATTGTACCACAGGTACTATCAAAAGGACACTCAAGCAATTTTTCATGTCTTGAATGTGTTATTTTGCTCAAGTGCAGTTTGAGGAGGGGGGAAAGAGATTTTCCCATGTATTGTATGAATATTGTGTTTTATTGCCTCTGGCAAAACCCATCAACTTGCCAGAGAGTTTGAAATATGGGGCAGTACAACTGGAAAAAAAAAATTCCAGCAGGTTGAGATTGTTCCAATGAAGTGATAAAGATTTGTTTGTTTGATGAAACAGCTGTTTACCAATGATACAGAAAGTTTCTGGTTTTTCCTTGGCTGTTTCTCTGAAAGTCCCTTAAGTTCTCTCTGGCAGAATATTTTCTTTTGGAACATTCATTGATGCTTGGCCTTGACCAGTGGAAGGGTCATCTGATAATCTAGTTCAGCTTCCCACGTACCACGAACCACTTTATCTCTTGTGCCTTTTTTTCTGACTGAAGCACGTGAATTTGGCTAGAGTCTTCCCCAGGCAGATTCATGGCCTGGGAACTTCATCTCAGTTTCTTGTACATTTGTGGTATTCTCTGTGTTTTATAGATCTCTAGGAGATTAGACTTTATTCTTGCTGTTGCCATCTGGGAACACCAAAATTATTAAAGAAAAATTTTATTTGAATTCTTGTTCTCTTAGCAGTAAAACTCTTTTTGCAGGCTGAAAATCAGTAATACAGGTGTATTCTTTTTCATTTTTTTTAAGATAAAATGTTCATTAATTTGAAACGTCGAAGAAAAACTGCGCTGGAGGCTGTAGCTGGAAGAAAATCCTATCGTTTGTCAATGAAAGTGAAGGCGTTTCCCTCTCCAGAGGTTTTATGGTAGGACAGAAGTTACTTCCACATATGCATGCTGGACCTCTTCTTAGACGAAAAATAGTACCTCGGTAAAATAGTCAAATAACACCTCTTGGAATTACAACAAACTGGAGACAATACAATTGTGGATTTTTATTGGAAGTTTCAGGGTTGTCCTGGATTTTAACAGTTTATGAGAACATTATCTCCATTTTGCAAGTGCAAAAAAAGCAGATCTGGAAAGTTTAAAGCTCAGATCCTCAAATATGTTAGATGTATCTCCTGTTGAAATCCTGTAGTACTTCACTCAGACCTAGATATGAGACCTGAACTTGCTTTTCAGACAGTAGAAGAAAGAAAACAAGGTTTTCATTAAAGTAACTGACTGAGCTGAGTCACACAGACATGCCCTATTAGAAAAACAATGGAAGCTGGTTTTATTATGTGGTGATCTGCAGGTTGTACATCTACTTTAGTGACTGGAGCGCTCACTTTGGCTCACGTATACTGTGCTAAGAAATCTTTTAAACAGTTTTTTGTATTAACCCAAACCACTTTTATATAAAACAATGTTATCTATTCATGATCTCAAGATTTTTTTTGTTTAAATAATTTTGAACACCAGTAGCTCTGGCTCAATTCATTGCACTTTAACAAAAGGTCTATGACAAGACTGATTAAGAAAACAAACCATACATACATGAACAGTGAGAGTTCATGTTACTCACAGCCAGAAATTACTTTTGCTCCAACCATTTTGTTTTGTTTTACAAAACCCCTATGTTTATAGCTCCACATGGAAAATTAAGGGGTGGAAGTGGAGCTGATACTAGCCATTTATACTTTATTTTCTGTTTCTTTAATGGCTGGGCTTGTTGACTATGCATATAGATCCAAAGCTTCTCAAATACAACAAAATTCCTGTAAACAAGAATTTTTCTTTATTTGTTTGTGACTGTGAGGTTGGTGAAACACTGGAACAAGTAGTCCAGAGAGGCTGTGGAGTCTCCACCCTTGGAGATACTCAAAACTAGACTGAAAATGGTCTTGGGCAACCTGCTGACCCTGCTTTGAACAGGGGGTTTGACTAGGCGATCTCCAGAGGCTCTTTCAGCCTCAGCTATTCTGTGGCTCTGTAAAATACAGATACAGTGAAATGTCTAAATCCATAGTCCTTAGACCCAATTTTTAATGCTCCTCTAATAACAGTAAGAGTTTTCTCTAAATAATTACCAAAACTTAGGAATCCTTTTAATTGAGTCTGTCATAGTGAAACTGTTGCACTCTTCTGCTAACATTATGTCAACCTTCATACAGTCACCTACCAAAATGTACTTTACGCTGTATTTTAGACTTTGAAGAAAAATGTTGTGCTTCTTCAGGAATCTGTGTGTGAGCAACACTTAGTACTTTCTATGTTGATTTTCTGTTATCTTTAGAAACATTCCCTTGATAGCAGGATATCTGATTCTTAAGTGCTTATCTAATCTACTTACTCTTCCTCTTCCTAAAATCACAGCTGTGCTTAGGCTACTGTAATACTTTGTCCCAGGATGTATTCTGAGGTCATAAGGAATGGTCAGTGCTGGATGATGCAACCTTTATTTGTGTAAATGACTCTCAGCCGAAATGGTTGTCTTCTAGACTACATGGCAGCACAAGCATGGAAAACTGGGATCTTCAGAGACACAGTTGCAATTTCCAGCAGCTCTCAAATACTCAGACAGAGCCCTGTCAGATCCTTATCAATTATAATATGTAGAATGGTATTTTCTGAAGTGCTTTATAAATGCCAGCAATCTTATTTGTAAGGGAAGGATAAGCCTCTGGTAAACAGAATCTCAGACTATAAATTCAGTCCTTGCCCAAGATTTGTGAAATGTGAAATGAAATAGCAGTAGTCTAAACAACATTATTTTTCAAAATTTTGATTTCTGTAATTTTTTAAACAGGTTAAAAGATGGACTACCTGCTGCTGAAAAGTGTGCCCGGTACATGGCTAAAGACTATTCATTAATCATCAAGGATGTTGCTGAGGAAGATGCTGGAAACTACACTATAATATTGAGCATACGCCAGTGGAACTTGTCTAAGAATCTTACAGTCACTCTTACAGTAAATGGTAAGTTTACAGCATGTTCCCATGCTTCTCCTGGAAATATAAATGCTAAATTTTCATTGAGCTAGATTTTCATTGATATTGCACAGCCCAGGTCATTGTGGTTTTTCCTACTGACTTTCATGGACCCAAATCCAAGCCTCGCATGTGGGGTGACAGATCCATCTTGGAATCAGAACACAGACACTGGTTTTCATTAGAAAGGTTTCTGTCTTCCAGTCACATACTTGCTCCTGATGATTTAAATGTATTACTAACTGCTCATCTGATTCGACTTAGTCCTGCTGCTTTTCTTTGTTCTCATGGGGATTTTTTCTTATTACTCAGCCTGCAGAAATGTAGTATTTTCACGGTCCTGCAGTATATTGGAAATGAGATGGTTTTAATTGCTTTCCACTTTCTACCCTTTACAGTGAAACCCCAGATATATGAAAATGCTGTGTCATCATTCCCTGATCCCAATCTATATTTACTGAACAGCAGACAAGTGCTGACCTGCACAGTGTACGGTATTCCTCAGCCTAAAATTACATGGATGTGGTACCCCTGTAGACAAAATCATTTTAAAACAAGGTAGGACATCTTCCTTACTTCTATTTAGCATGTCTTCCCTTACTATTACATTTAAATATTTACTTTTTTACAAGAATAAAGCTTGACATGACCTTTGCTTAGTTTTAGGAGCTTGTACACTTTTATCAATGTATTTTTTAGTAAACATGTAGACACAATGACATTTTGTCTGCATCATTATTTGAAAATGGAGGGCAGAGTTGTTGTTTTGTATTGCTACTTAGATTTATTTACAGTTCACTACTGTTCATGTATGCAATGTCCAGAGGTGGTAATTGCTTTTTAATTTTTGTGAGGGAAGCCTTGCAGACAATGTCCTCCAAAGTTCACGTGCTTTCTCATGGAAGAGATTTCCATGCTCTTCTCCGGGCAGAGTGATTCCCCTGCGTGGCTTCTTTTGAAATTCAACAGAAATAATCTTAAAGACTTTTTCCATTACAAAGGTCCCATCTCTCTTATGGTATGTTGACTTATAGATTCAGTTAAGCAAGCCAAATGCATCAGCATTCTCCAGATGATGTTGCAGCAGGGTAAAATATAAATGGCACCATACAAGCTTACTTGATGCTGATGCTTTTGAACTCTTTTTCTTATGGTTACAAGTTTGTGTGTTGACTCATTTATCCAAAGCTCTTCCTGAATCATGAAATCTGACACAATCTTAATGATTGCCACTCAGCCTCCACAATGGCATTAACATTAAGCTACTATTGGAAGGTTCAAACATGCAAGGTATTTGGATCACAGCACAACGCAGATATTTAAAAACCTAACAGAAGTTTAGGAACCAACATTTTCTTAGTTTCCGTTGAAGTTAATAATTTTACATAGGATTTAACTTCCTTAGTGCTTTCATAGAATTGGGTTTTAGTGCCGGTCCAGCTACAACATTTAAGGACATGATTAACTGCAGGGCTACACAACACCCTGTTCAATTAAATAGGATAAACAGCTTATTTCAAATGAAGGGTGCTTGTAAGTGCTTTGTGATCAGTGAGAGTGGGCAGCACTTCCTAGAAGCACACATGGTTTTTCCAGTTATGTCTTGTTTTGGGATTATGCAAATAGGTGGCCTTCTGTGCCCTTCTCACCAAGAGGTGGCACTAGCAATCTCTCTCTTTGCTGGAACAGGTATAACCTGAAATTCTCCATTTTGAGGATAGGTGAGGGCTTCATTGCCTTTATCATTCGTTACGTTACCTTCGAAGGACAAGTCACAAAATTCTGAGTAGGAATTTATTTTTGCTTATTGGTGCAAGATGTAAGAGAAAAGAAATCACATCTCTTAAGTAAAGAAACCCTGTGAAAGGTGTATATGAATATTTTCTATCTTTTTGTTTCTTTCAAGTGTTTATGCATCTCTGCATACTCTGGATTGAAATCCTAGTGCGGCACTGATAAAACTGTTCTGTGGGAGCTGGGGTGGTGCTCATCCATTGTCAAATATTTCCTTCTGTTAACAAGCACAGATCTGCAGTACAGCACAGAAGAGTGTGTCATCAGAAATAGAAATAATATCTGCAAGCAGGTGTTTAATAATGTGCTAAACTGTAGACTCAAATGCTAATTAGAAGTGTGTTTGAGCAGGTGATCAAAGGAGAAATGTAACAACTCAATCAGCTATTGGCTCTGTTACAAGGTTGTTTCCAGTCTTGCTTCCAAATTGCCTTCATAATTGTTCTGTGACAATTCTCTTTAGCCCTCTCCCCTTCCTTCTCCTTTAAACGCTCGTTGAAGAAGTAGTCTGGAGAACACCATTTTTAATGCTTTGCATAAGAGGAGTGGAATGACTCCCTCTGACTAATATGATATCAACTATTGCAGAAAGGCAGGAATACCTGAATAATTACATTTTGTCTCCTGCTCCAGGAAGGGAGCAGAGTGGACAACCTCAGCAGCTGGTGTGGCTTGCTCAGGCTGATGTCTGTGCTAGTTCAGGTGTTCTCCCTGAAAAACTGGAGAACCCTTTAATCCCACCACTATACTTACCTCTTTATCTGAGGAGAGGTTTGCCTAAACAGCAGATTTAAGGTGTGTGTATCTTGTGCAGGAGATAAAAAAATCTATCTTATTCTGCCATTACAGGATTTATTTGGATTTACCTACCCAATGTCAGGTTTCCAGGGCTAAAATCTTGCTCTGTTTGTGCTCAAGTAGTGCCTATTTCTGTGCACAAATGTACCTTGTACCTTAAGTTGATAAACCCACAGGTTACCATTATTCAGTGTATGCCAGTAGGGATTCTCATCAGATTTCTGGGTTCCATGCCACCAGATAGACCACACACTCTGGGTACAAAGATGCTGTTGCTGCAAAGACTTTGCAGTGCACAGACGTGTTTGCTCCAAGATTTATACATTAGCTTAACTTTACATCACTTGATTACTATCAGTGCAAGCTGGGAAATGACTCATAGTGCATAAATTAGATGTTTTTATTTTTGAAGGACTGTTGCCTATGGGCTCTTTAATAGAAACTATTAGGTTGTCTGGCTGCTTCTTTCAGTTTCTGTTCTAGACAGTAGTTCTCTTTCAGAATCTAAAAATAAATACCTCAGTGGATTCCAAGGCTTTTAAATAAAATGCAAATATACTTTAATGCTTTGTGATTATTACAACCAATTTGCATAACTCTCCTCTCAGTGTCATTCAGGCCAGTAACAGGAGGCCAGCCAAATTAAACAGTTTCCGTAGTTTCCTGGTAGCAAATTTAAAAAAAGAAAATGCTATAGGATTGCTCAATGAATTTGACTTTTTGGAATGTGGAGAGACCATCATTAAAATTCCCTGTTCTTTATTTTCTGTTAAAATTACTTTGCTTAAACCAACTCTATTGCCATTAAATAACCTTTTGTTAGCTAGCTTGTTAACTAGATAGACAGATGGAAAGATTCTCTTCTGATGTTCACCCTAGCAAGGAAACATAAAAGAGTCAAGAAAAATTGGGGCAAAAAGTAATGTTTTGGGTTTTTTTTTTTTAAAGCTTATGCAGAGCTAGTAAATTCAGGATGACTTGCTTCAAGTGTTGCACTCCTTGGGTGTGGAGGCAATGGTGAGCACTCTACTGTGTGTGGATTGAGAACCCAGTGAAATTTGCCTGTTCCCACCAGGTGAATGTTACACCTGGCTCTGAAGAGCCAGCCTCCAAAGATATCCATATATTTCTCACTGAAGGCTTCCTGCTTTACAGTTACAAACCACTGACAGACCTATTTGACATACACTACTACCTGGCAGTTCCATACGATGAACGCAAAACAAGGAGAAGCACATGTAACTACGCTGTTCCTGACCCACCAGTTCTCTTTGACAGACACATCTGGCCCCTGCACTTAAAACACAGGAAAGAAATGGAAGACAGCAGTGCTAATGCCTTCTATTTAGATGTTAGTAGAAGATACAATGAGAGTTAAAATAAAATGCAATTGAAAAATTAAAGACTAGTTTTTCTTAACTGACCAAGAAACTTCCAGTGCTCTCTTATTCCAGCTTACGCTGCTGCTCTGTAGCAGATACATACATTCCCAGGCTTGGGAGCCCCTAGTTGCTCGACGGATATAGCAGAAAACAGCCTGTGGGACACTTATCCTGCAGTGTCCATCAGCCTCCTTCACCTCTTCCCTACCTCCCTGGAGTTGTTCTTTCTGGCCTTTTTTCTTGCTTAGGTTGGGTTGGTTAGGTTAGAAAAAGGCTAACTTTTTTCTTGGGTTGTTGGCAGAGGGTCAGCGAGTGGCAGGGCTTGCTGAGCGTCTCTGGAGCCAGCCAGGCTGTGCCCCACCTAAACTCACCAGCTCTGAGGCTGCAGAATGAGCGTCTGCATGCCAGGAACGTGCTTGATGTTAACGGTTCTTGACCTGAATCTCCTCAGCAGATTTGTGTTTATCTTAAACTGGTCTGGCAGAAATTGACAAGAAAGGCACCTGGGATACTGATATTGCTCTGGGGAAGCACTGGTTTCCTCAGTGGTTGTGCAGTGTCATTTGGGGACAGTTTCTCTCCCTGGACATTTCCATGTGAGTGGAATCACTTACTGGTTTAACACAGAGTGATGGGAAGGGAACATTTACCTCCCATTGAGGCTTCTCTGCAGTGAAGGTAGGGTCACATGAATAATTTTCTACAAAAACAGCTCTCGAGCACTGCATGTTGTGGATCACAGTGAGGCAAAACTAGAGGTTTTCCCTGAAACTTGTGCAGAGATATAGAAAGCCTGAAACTACCATAATGAAAGTGCATGGCCAGACTCCCACCAGCTTCAGTGAAAGAGGAGGCAGACCGTGTGTGCATAGCAGTCTAATTGCATTTCTGCATTGTTTATGTCAGTGTATTAACAAGGGATTGAAAGGCAGAATCATTAGGATGTGCTCAGATAGATTATCAGGGGAAAACCAGATTTGGAACATCAGTGAGGTATGTAAAATGAACAAGTAAAGAACAAATGTTAATTGTACTTAATTAGAAATGTACTGAACCACCCAAATTTAATTGTTGAATGTCTGCAAACATCGATGCCCATTAGTTTGTCCACAGCGACTGTTTTTGTTCCCCATGCCACCTTCTATTTTCGGGAAGGGGAAGTCTGAGTTCTTAGAGCTGGTAAAAGTAGGTCAGATGCCATTAATAAACAGGTAGTTCAAAAATGCCTTTGTTTCATTTGACATGTGGCCAGATCCTCAGCTCGAAACTCACACTGGTTGAGGATCTGGCTGGTGGCCTTTGTGCCTTCCATTCTCTATTACAAGAAAATCATCTTGCAGTGGTCTGGTAATGTAAAGGTACTTAAAATGGGTACGTGAGAAAATATGCTAGCTGTTCCCTTCTTTTGTCATAGTTGGGGAAATAGATTAATGCAGATAAAAATCAGACCCTGTGTTCCTCAGGTATCTTGCAAAAAAAAAAAAATGCAGAGGAACAGACATGAGTGTACATTGCAGCAGTGTGGACTTGCAGGAATTTGAAGTCAAAAGAAAGAGAGAAGTGAAATAGCATCTGATCTGCTTCAGCC